CATAATGGCCGCCGGCTGGAGAAAATTGCCCCCGCTGTTTTTAGGACTGATTTTTTTGCACTACAGGCCCCGAAAATGGCCACCCCTATGGAGGATCTTTGCTGGACGAGCAGGTATTCAGCCCATTGGAACGCATTGAATGGTTTTCAGTGCGTTTCAATGGGTTTTTTAATTTCGTTTGATGACGTTTTCGCTCTATAGCAATTTCGCTGGAACAAATTAACGTCGTCAAGTGAGGCACCACTGTATAATGAAAACACAGAAATGACCATCAAATACAGTATTGCTGGGAAAAGACCTAACACGAGACAGATTGTTTCAATAAAGAAAGCCACAGCTGTTAGTTTGTAAGACCTGAGCAGAAAGTACTGAAAAAGACAATTTTGCTCAGAAGGGGGGGCAGTAGGAAGAGAGAACAACTTAATATGAGATGTTGCTTTGCAAGATCTGAGCAGAGCTGTTAATGATATGACATTTAGACATAATTAACTCATATAATCACCACACATCAAAAGTGACTTAATAGTACATAACGTCTTTGGAGGTTTTTTCCTTAATAACCAAACAATGGTATAGTGACAAGACAGGTGGAATTTTTGAGACTATGAGAGGATCTAGGCACCAAAATTCTGCTAACAGAAAGTAGGACCATTCCTGGTCACAAAGCAAAAAACAAAAGACATAATTAACTCATATAATCACCACACATCAGAAGTGACTTAATGGTACATAACGTCTTTGGAGGTTTTTTCCTTAATAACCAAACAATGGTATAGTGACAAGACAGGTGGAATTTTTGAGACTATGAGAGGATCTAGGCACCAAAATTCTGCTAACAGAAAGTAGGACCATTCCTGGTCACAAAGCAAAAAACAAAAATGAAACAAAAAAAAAAACGCCAGTAATTTCACAGTTTATGTGAGTTAGCTTCTGAAGTTTTGTTCTCTATTTTTAAATATATTTTTAAAAATATTTTTACAACTAGACACAGAATACCTCTGCAAGCACAAATCTCTGCTTAACTAGGAAGGAATTAAAAATTCAATTGGGTCCTGGTTGACAGATATAAAAGTTCAGACCTGGAGCTGGTTTCCACTTTGAAAACTTGTATCAGGAGCCTAGTCTCAGAAATCTTGTTAAAATGTTTACTGAAAACATTTTGTAATGCTTTTGTAATGCAGAAATACTCTAAACATGCCTTATAAAATTTTGTGCTAATTCCCTGGAGATACATGACAAAATGTCCCACTTTCTGGAGGACTATCACTCCTTTACTTTCTTTAAAACAAACCATTTTTTTACTCTTTCCATAATAGCTGGAACCTTTTTGTTGACCTGTAATTCTCCCTAGCCCCTATAGTACATGGTATAATCTGCCTGGCAAGTCTGTACCATGCATGCTCAGTTTATGACAAAGTCACTGTTTTTCCCATTTCGAAGGTCTCTTGTGAGTATCATTATTTCAGCCGCTGCAGCCTGTATTATTATTTCCAAACTTTAAAAAGTGGGTGGGGCCAATCATTCTCTTTTGAGTTAAGTAGGATCGGTATTTTCAGTTTCTATGAGCTATTTTAAATCTGGGGATGCTTAAGGTTGCTATTTCTGAACAGGGAAAAACAAATTTTACTTTAAAAAAATTATAACCTGAAAATCCTTTGCCCAGACATCCCCAGTTCAGCATAGAGCTACAACTATGCTAGGTTTGGTGCCCAGTTTCAAAATTAGAATTCTTGGTTTGGGCTGCTCCTATTTTTACAGTTGGCTTGTAAAATGTTGATTTGCTCTGTTGCACAATAATGTACTGCTATATTATTTATTTATATATTTATTTGATTTGTATCTATACGACCACTCGAGGCGGCTTCCAATATAATGTAGACAACTAATAAACTAACACAAAAATATTATATAAATCTTCCAATGACAATTTACAAAACAAAAATAGAATAAAGAATAAAGAAAGAATGAAAAGAAAAAAATCAAGTGTTGACTGGAGGGAAGGCCTGAATAAACATCCATGTTTTAAATTGGTTTTTAAAGATACCCAGTGTAGGGGCCATGCAAATCCCCGGAGGGAGATTGTTCCAGAGGCGAGGAACCACTGCTGAGAAGGCCCGGTTTTATGACTTCTCCTTCCGAGCCTCTCTCGGCGTCAGGCTCCTCAGCCTCACCTCCTGACTCGCACGGGTGATCTGGGTAGACCTTGGTGGGAGCAGGCATGCCGCCAGATATCAAGTTCCTAAACCGTTTGGGGCCTTGTAAGTAAACATTAAAACTTTGAAGTCGATGCAGAACCGAATGGGCAGCCAATGCAGTGTGGCCAGAATAGGAGAAATATGCTGGTATTTTCTTGCTCCACTAAGGAGTCTGGCCGCCGCATTCTGCACCACCTGGAGTTTCCGCATCAGCCTCAAAGGCAGCCCCACGTAGTATTATGTCTCACCTTTCTATTGTTATGGAACTCGAGACAGATAACATATGCTTCCAGATCATCTCCATCCAAGTTCTGACCAGATCCAGGTCAGTTTAGCATCAGCAAAGCTATTGCTTTGTACGCTGTCAGGTGATGTCACCAATAAACATTCATATTATTTTAATCAGAAATATTATTTTGCGGAGACAGTTGATTGCATTTGGTACTTGTCATTCATTGCTTGCAGCAACGAAGTTACCTAAATGCGTAGATGAACCAGCCCTCTGTTTGTCACAGGATGGATATGATTTAAATCAAATTGATTAAAAATCATAATTTAAATTTAAAAAAAATCAGTTTTCTGATGATTTAAATTAGTTTTTTTAATTACAATCGTGGTTTAAATCAAGAGTGATAGAGTTCTTAATCCCTCTTTTGACAGCCTCCAGTAGTAACATTTATACTGGCTTTTAAATTCTGTTCCATGCTAGTATGCAAACATACAGCTGAGTTTGGGATTCTAACCCAAATTAATTAGTAATAAAACAGGTTGGAAAATTCAAATATTGTATTATTAATTTTTCCAAGGGAAATAGTGTCTTATGCCCTTTTATAGCAAATGCGTGCATGTTGTCAACCAGTCTTAGATGTCTGGTTCCCTTCAGTTTCACATTGCCCTTGTCTACCATTCTGTATTTGCAAAAACTAATTCCAAGACAGATGTGACACTTTGAAAATGAGTGACCTCAAGTAATTGCTGCTGTTGTTCACATCTCTCTCACTACGCAGATAACCCAGATGCTTTCAGCTGGAAAATATTATAGGAGGATGGAGAGGTACACAGTGACCTAATTGTAAAGGTCAGCAAAGTCAGCTCTAGAACTATTGACTTTTTTGTTCTGTTTTTCAAACAGGGATAATGCTTTTCATTGTTATGTTGTTGTTAAAAGAAGGAAAATTCTATCTAGAAAGGGAAAGGAAAAAAACACCCTCCCCCTCCCCCAAAGCTCTTGCTCACCATCACATGCTCTAGTAGACATATAGCCTATTGTCTTAATTTCACCTCTAGCATTTACTCATTCAGCAGATGCAGGAAGGAACTTGAAAGAAAGACATGTAATGACAGTGTACTTATATATATTCCTGTTATGGGAGAGACTGAGCAGCCTTTGAACTGGGGAGGAGAGATTAAATCCATTATTTTTCCTGACAGAGTTCCTACTGGCACTTGTAGAGTCTTCCATTGAAATGGGCTTAGCATCTGACAAGGAAAAAATTGTTGCCAGGATCATGGCAAGGAGAAATCGAACTGCTCACCACCAACAATCTTCTGCTGATTTATGCTCTTGTAACCTAATCTCATTAGATCTAATTATGCCCTCTGGGGCAACAGAGAACTGGTTCCTTTGGTTTCTTATATGTAGTTGACTTTTGAGGAATATTATTGCACCTCTTTTTTCTCTCTTCCCTGGACCATACCCAGTTCCTTGAATATTTTCTTGTAGAGTCATTGATCATTGTTCCGGCCTCCTCTAATTTGGCTCAGGTTTAACTTTTTCTTTTTACACCTTCAGTCTTGATGTCCTTTTTATGTATATTATTGCCAACCCAGGCATTCTCCATTGTATGCTTGTGTAGGCATCCTTCAGGCTCGAGACTGTGTATGGAAGACTTGGAACAGCATCTAGTGTGGCTGAGAAAGCCATCTGCAGCCAACTCAGTTCCATGTCAATGACAGTTGTATTGAAAGGCGGCATCTATTTCCTGCAGGTCCTCAGAAAAGCCAGGGTTTCTATGGACGGAAAAGAGCAGATACGGATCAAATGGTTTTCAATGCATTCCTATGGGAAATCTAGATTTGACTTGAGAACTTTTTGACTTGAGAACCGCCTTCCAATACGGATTAAGTTCTCAAGTCAAGACCCCACTGTATGTAGTTATCTTTTGAGGAATATTATTGCACCTCTTTTTTCTCTCTTCCCTGGACCATACCCAATTCCTTGAATATTTTCTTTTAGAGTCATTGATCCTCCTCTAATTTGGCTCAGATTAAACTTTTTCTTTTTACACCTTCAGTCTTGATGTCCTTTTTATGTATATTATTGCCAAACCAGGCATTCTCCATTGTATACTTGTGTAGGCATCCTTCAGTCTCGAGATTGTGTCCTCTCCAGAGTATGAAGCCTGGGTAAAATAATAAGGATAATAGACTGTTACCCAAGCAGAAAATCCCTCCTCTCCATGTTACTGAAATAGTCCAATGGAAAGGCAAAAGCCAGTACAACTGGTTCCAGCAACGTTGCAGGAGTTGCCAGAGCATGACTGTACATAGTCACGAACTGCGTCCAGGACTCCAGCTCCGGATGTTGCCTCTAGGTTAACTCCTGAAGCCTTTTCCATTGGTGGATGTAGCCACAAGGCAGTGGAGGTTTGAAATCGGAGTTTTCCTTCTCCTAGATGGGGAGGTTTGAAATTGGAGTTTTCCTTCTCCTAGATGGGCTGCCTTCCAAGGCTAACAAGCCCCACCTACCTGGAATTTTTATTTGAATTTGAATTTTTGAATTTTTATTGGTCTTTCCCTGAACAGAAATTTTTCACTGGTATCTGCTGAATTCCACTTTGTCAGTTTTAGTCCTGTTTCGCATTGTGTCAAGGGTTCCTTCAATCTCTTTGTCCAGGTTGATGATCCAAATATTGAAAGGTACTGGGCCCCAAACAGAACTGTGTGGCACCCAATTCCGGAACCTCCCTTGTTTGATTATCAGCAATTATTGGGAGTGGTATTTTGCCTAGTTGCAGACACCTAATGGTTCTCTAACCCAACCAGGTTGCCAGCATAACATTTGATGCGGGGTTTATCAGATATTTTGTGGAAATCAAGATAAATCACATCCACAGCAGTTCTGCAATCCACTAAGCAGATGACCTAATTTTAAAAATGGACACATCTAAAGTGGCTCTTGCTATGAACCACACGCAACAAAATGCTTTTAAATAAACTGGTTACAATCTGTTACAATATCTTCTCCAGTATTAAAATCAGACAGATCAATCAGAAATGTCCAGTATCTTTCTCCCCCTCAATCCCTTTTGAACAGTGGTCCCCAACCTTTTCTGAATTGTGGACCAGTTGGGGGGGATGTTTGTGGGGGGTCCCCCTGCACTTGCAGGTGGGTGGGGCGCGCTCATGGAGGGACACGCTTGTGCGCATGTGCAAAGGAGGGGGTGTGCTCACAGAGGGGAGGTGCATGTGCACGTGTGCATGAACAAAGGGGTGGGGCAGTTGGTCCCCCCGCACTTGCAGGTGGGTGGGGCATGCTCATGAAGGGACACACTTGTGCGCATGTGCAAAGGAGGGGTGTGTGCTCACAGAGCGGAGGTGCATGTGCACGTGTGCATGAATAAAGGGGTGGGGCACGCTCATGGAGGGTGCCGCACATGGAGGGTGCTCACAGGTGGGCAGGGCACCTGTGCAGGTGGGTGGCGGGCTGTGCATGCATGGGGTGGGTGGATGAGTCCATGCGGGGGGCAGGAGATATATCTCTGCGGCCCAGTCCTGCCATGGCCATGGACCAGCACCGGGCCACAGACCAGGGGTTGGGGACCCCTGCCTTTTGAAGACGTTTCTCTGTAGTCCTGTGACACCTGACTTTTTCTCCAGGATAAGTTGTGTAGGGTAAACCTCAAGGTGTACAGATTATATTTTTGTTAGTAGCTTGGATGAATATCCTGATGGAGATTTTTGGTTACTCTCCTATTCATTTATTCATTCATTTATTGTACAGATCGAATTTCAAGCTCTTGGCGGTCAGTGGAAAACTCTATGCAATTGGTGGGCAGTCCCTCTCCAATGTTGAATGTTACAACCCAGAACATGACTGGTGGAACTTTGTGGCATCTTTACCAAACCCACTTGCAGAATTTTCAGCGTGTGAGTGCAAAGGCAAGATTTATGTCATGGGAGGCTACACTACCCGAGGTAAGGCAGGGATCAGGAAAGAATCATTGTTTGTTTGTTTGTTTTATTTTACAGCTGCAAGTTCAAGTAGATTCAAGGTAGTAAAAGTAAATCAAGCAGTGTCAATTTAAGAAATTTGGGGCATGTGACTGTTTAGAACCTTTTAACTATTGTAGCATTTTAAACAAATGGAATAGTAAATACATATTAGAAGGATGTAAAATCGAGTTCTTGATCATCATGACTGTGGATATGAGTAGGAATTTTGGGAAAGTTATTTTATTCATTTATTACAATATTTCTGAACTTTATTAGCAGATCTCAGGGTAGGATGCAATCAATGAAGTCAACGAAATTCCAAAACAAGTATAAGTAATTGACACACAGCTTAAACCATTAACTCAAACAAAGTAAAACTGGCTGAAAAACAAGATATGTTCTCGCTAGCCCAGATGCTCAAGTGATGTCAGCTTTAACTTGGTGCCAACGTAAGGGCAATGTTAGTACCAACCAAGCTTCCAAGGGAAGAGCACTCTGCAGCTGGGGTGATATACCCAAGAAAGCCCTCTCCTGTGTCCCCACAGACTATTGTACCAATGTGGAACACAGAAAAAGACTCCACACTCCCCAAAAGAACACCAGATCTTAATGACTGAGCAGATGTTGCTGGAGGGAGGGGCATTGTTAAATAGTTACGAGAAGATTCCGTGTATTAGGAGAATCTGAGCATGCAATATACTATCAAACTGAAATCTCTTGGTCTAAGGTAACAAAATCACTTTTATTCTATTTTACTTTTAATTTTTAAAAAACTATTTGAGTTTATAAAAAGAATGTCCGAAATGGACACACTGGCTAAAATCCAATAGTAAAGTAGCCCCACACAAGAATGGCTTTTCCACTTTAGAAAAGTTGGCTGAGCCAAGTAAACATACAAATGTTAGCAAAGAGTGAATGTTAAGAGTTACTGGAAATATTTGGAAACTGTGTCCAGTTTGTTATCCCTGAACATGTTAATTCAGATATGAAGTTTAGCAAACAAATAGCTGGCATTGCTTTCATTATGATCTTAATTAAGTTAATGGACAAAAGTCTGTTTACTGCATTTATTGTTTTTAACTTGCCTTATCATAGTTATACTGCAGAGGATAGTAGGGATGCTTTGTCCACATTCTGAAAAGGATGGAGTGCTGTAGATCTCAAAACAGAGCAGCTAACCAAGCTACAAGTGTGTGCTTTGGTCTCCAACTGAGAATGGAGCTGAAGTTTGATTTCTGCATTAAACATTTTCTCTGTATTGCAGAGCGCAACTTGAGTGTCTTGCAGTACTGTCCCACCTCTGACAACTGGACTAACTTTGGACTGTGTGGCGTCCACATCCGCAAGCAACAGATGCTGTCAGTGGAGGAAACCATCTACATAGTTGGAGGTTGCATCCATGAACTGGACTCAAATAAAAAATCTAGCCAGAATGAGGACATGTTAATGGTACAGTCCTATAATACTGCCACCAAAGAATGGCTCTACCTCAAAGAAAACACATCGAAATCTGGCCTTAATTTGACTTGCACTCTACACAATGATGGGATTTATATACTGACGAGAGATGTCACATTGTCTACGAGCTTGGAGCACCGGGTTTTTCTCAAATATAATATATTTTCAGACAGCTGGGAATCACTTAGGCACTTCCCAACCTTTGGACAAAATATGTTGGTCTGTTCCATCTACTTGCCAAATTTGATCTGATTGTAAACACAACCATCTTATTTGTGCCCATAAATGTCCACATTTGCAGAACAAGGGGTTTCTTCCTCTAGCCATCATTTCTTCCGGATGCCATTTACCCCCGTGTTGCTATTACTGTTATTAATTTGATTTACTCTTAACAAGGTACATAGTGCAGGTACTGGCCTCTGCTCTGGGAAACAGGCAGTTGGCTTCAGTGAGTGACAAAACTAGGGAGGGAAAAGATAACATGCATAAAGGCAACTGTGTATTTAAGCATTGCTTCAGTTGAGGATGAAGGTAAACAGATTGAGACGACAGCTTTGTGAAATTGTATATAGGAGCTTAGCAAGAGCAAGGGCCAAAATGCTTTGTTTCTTTGCTTCCAGCTGAAGACAGCAAATGAGGCACACAGTAATGAAAATTACACCTGTGTGGATGGGGTTTACTTGGCATGTGCAGTCAAGATGGTTTGGAAAGATATGATTGATGAGCTATTTTATTAGAAATATGTAAAAACACCATAAGTGGTTGTATTGCTCTTTGTGAGTCCTGTCTGCAAGAGACGACGACTCAGCTGGAAGGCAAGTGCACCTATGCATATAACTTCCATCTGCAGTAGACACCTTGCAGTCAGAAGTGCAACATTTTTCTGCTGTGGTTCACCACAGAAAGTGGTGTCTTCTGGGCAAGGATCTGAAGGAAAGGAGAAAGAGAGATTCCCCCTCCCCCTCCCCATTGGAGCTGGAAGAGTAGGCTCAATCACTTAAGATGACCAGGAGACTTTGGCTGTCCTCAGAATCGCCAAAGTGGTTGAATTATGGGAGCCAGGGTTCACAGAAAAAGCAATGGAGATTTGTGCTCAGTGCAAGTGAGAATACAAAAGTTAGCAAAGATATTTGATCTGGGCCATTCACTGGTCTGAGTGACTGAAAAAATGTGGGATTCTGTGGCTAGGTATTTTGACTAAGGAGTGGAAAAGCCAAATAAGAATTTTGGGTCCCATTTCAGTGAATCAATCAGTTTTTACTATAATCACAGTTCAGCCAGGACTTTGTGTAAAGTGTGATTTTCCATACATAGCAAATGCACTTCTGTGGTTGCTTTAAAAGGAATTCTGTAAACTGTTCTGTCAACTTAGGTGTAAGACTCTTTTTCTGAACCACTCATTTGTTTATGTATTAGCCTCCTTTCTGCTAATGTTGGAGAAGAGAAAAAGAAGTAAGACTTTCCATGCAAGGTGATCTCAAAGATATTTCACATGTCTTAATCTAAGAAATAACTAAACTCAGTGGATGGTTACATAGAGAACAAGCTACTTGCTTTGGGGCCAAGCTAGTTACAACAGCTATAGACTTTGTATTTCCAAAAGAGCTGAATGTAATCACACAACAGGCTTAAAAAATGGACAGTCCATTTGTGGAATTCTTCCCCAAGGGGTAAACCCACCCAACTTGTTAGTTTGCCTCCCCTGATTTCTGATATTGGAAGTGTGCACAATATGGAGGAAAGCCTTAGGTAGTGGGAAGGTACGAGGTGGATGGGGAAATTCCAATAAGTGCAGGGGAGATGGCTTTTTTTGCTGTTAAAATTAGACTTCCACCAGTGATTGTGTCAGTGCCAATTTGAACAATGCTGTTGTCATGCCTGGCTTAGCCCTTTAAAGAAAATTATATTGCTGAAATATTTCACTATCTTGTGAAAGAACTACTAGTGTCACTTGCTGCTTTTACTTTGTTCTGTTCCTGAGTACAACATGTTAAGCTTTAAAACCGATCAAAGCTTTCACCGTAATTCTGTGCTTGGTGGTAGAATCAAACAAAAAAGAAGCAGAGTGGGCAGGTATTCTAGTTCTGCTCTACGGATAGAAGAGAACAGCCCTGCTATATCGGATTCAAAACTCTGTCAATTAATGTTTGTATACTGGCAAAACTCTGCAAGAAAGACTCTTTCTTTGTGGTTCCCCCACAGTGGGTGTTGAGAGATAGGCTGCCTTTGATGTAATGTGACCAGTAGCTGCTGCTGCACTGTCACAGAGAAATTATGATTTCTTGCTACCTCTGTTGCTAACCACACTGTAAAACTTTAACTTAAAACAATACATTTGGATCAGGCTCTATCACAAGCACTGCCTCCTAAAGATCAGTCTGCGTGGAATTTTTCCATCATGTGTGGAAGGTGGTGGCTCTTTGTCAAACGTGGATGGTTGCAACCGTTCCTGAGAAGTTAGTAAAATCAGGCTTCAGTTTGTGAAGTCACAAAAACTGTGCTGTAAACCATTTTAACACTATTTGCAAGAAGTGCACCAAGAAGCCAAATTGTCATATTTATTCTTATGCTCCATTCCAAGAGCTTTCTAAAGGAACTCTGGGAAAAAAATCTTTCTGGTATTCCCTTTGCTGCTTCATCTGCCTCGTGAAGTTTATCTCCTCCCCTGACATCGCCCCAAGAAAACAGCTTTGGAACAAATCAAGGCAGCTGAGGCAGAAATGCATAGAAGTTTTCGTTGGTGTACGTCATACGTGAGCCATTGCTTTTGGCATGAGCTAACTGTAGGCCCTTACCAAAATGTCAAATGCTTGTGTAATATTTTTTTTAAGGCAGCATAATATGGGATAGGATGTATATCACCTCCTTCCTGCATGGATAGATCACTAGGAAGCTTGCACTCTCATCTTCAGGTGGTAAACACAGTTTACGGATGCGCATGGAATCCACTCCTAAGCCTTTCCTGGATTATGCAACTTCCACCTGGAGTTTGATGTCTGAACCCTACCCAATGGAAGGAAAATCTCTTTGCATATATGAAAACAGTATGCCAAATCAAGATTAAGTCTGCTTTCCTGGCAGTATTTGGTTATCAAATCCCTTCCCTGCAATCTGAAAGAGAAAAGTCTTGGCATCATATGTAGACTGTACTTTGGTGCAATAATACAGGCATCTTTCTGTAACCCAGTTGGTAGTGTCAGTAGGGGAAACATCAGGAAATGGTGTACCTAGCTTTACATCTTGTGGAAGAAAGGAAGCATGTAAATGAAATAATAAATGTGTACGTTTGATGTGGTATTTTCATAAGAGTCACATGTTTAAGGATATCACCAAGGGACAAAAATTTGAACATGACCTAGTGTACGTGCAGATGGACAGCTCCTAACACTGCCAATAAAAATATTACACAGCTTTTCTATTCCTTTCTTCCCATATTTTGTAGGAAATAAAAAAAGATGTAAGCAATGGGGAAACTCACAATTACAAGTGAAAAGATATAAGCAATAGCCAGCAGGGGCGGCTGAGGGGTCTGACGCCGAGAGAGGCCCGGAAGGAAAAAACAAGAAACCGGGCCTTCTCGGCGGTGGCTCCTCGGCTGTGGAACGCCCTTCCAACAGAAATTCGGCTGGCACCCTCGCTGGGTGTTTTTAAAAGCCAGTTAAAAACTTGGTTATTCAAGCAGGCCTTCCCTCCAGTCAATTAAGTCTTTCTCTTTTTCTTTTTCTTTGCTATTCCATCTTGGTAATCCTCTCTTTAAATTAATTGTTTTAAATTGAAACTGTAGTTGTAATTTTCATGATTTTATATTTTTTTATACTGTTTTGTTTTATTTTGTAAGCCGCCCCGAGTAGACATGGTCTAGAGGGGCGGGGTAAAAATCAAATAAATAAATAAATAAAAATAAATAAACAATGGGGAAACTCACAATTACAAGTGAAACACATAAACACAGCTTGTAAAATTTCATGAATACAGCTATGCAATCGGACGATAAAAAGATTTAGAAATGCATCTAGTGCCTTTTTATCTGCATGACTTTATGATGTGATAAAATACTTATGTGGATCAGTTTTTCTCAATGATTGTCTTGAATTTCCTTGAAATACCGCTACATTAAGCGTGTGCATGTTTAAAAAAAAAAAGAAAGGAAAAGGAAGATAGCAATTTGGTGGTGGATAAAAATATCTTGTATCAACTGACCTTAATCCATTTTTATATATGGCAGATCAGCAGCCCAGAATTGGACTGCTTTGGTAGTTGTTACATCAGAAATACATCCATATTTAAACTGAAGTACGAAACTTGTGTGAAACAGCTATTGGCGTTCTCAAGGGATTCTAACAAATAAGTGGATGCATATATAGATGATGAGCTGAGTGAATCTTTGTCTAGTCCAGGCAGGCAATTGTATTGGAGCCTGCATTTCAGTGATAGAACACATTGCTTGCATGCCAAATATCCCAGATTCCTCCCCTGGTATCTCCAGGTTAAAAGGGTCAGATACAACGCTTAACAGCATCCTCTTGCTTTGTGAGGTTAAAATGCAGGGCTGAATCCAGTATATCCCTGGTCAGAGTAACAGACTCTGTTTTTCTATATGAGATTTAAATCAACTTTCATAGAATCTGGACTGTTACATATATGGTCACTGTCAGTGCAGTGTAAAGCCCAGATATGAGGTGTTGATCATTAAAACCAAAATATTGATCTGACATAAACCAACAAAAGTGAAAACTGCTTCTAATATGTGTTGTAAAAGGCCCTGAGAGTATGACCAAGCGAATGTCTACTTCAAGACTGTCCTCAGCCATGGATCTCCAAGTAAGCCTTAGATAAAATCCCACTCTACTCATTTATTTAGCAATTTGATAGCTCTCTCACTGCTATAGGTGTGTCTTCTGGAACCCTGGAATTTGTGATTTGGTGAGGGACTTAAGATTCTCTGCTGTAGTTTAGAGGGCACATTAGAACTCCTTAGCAGAGGACTTTAAGTCTCCTGCCAAACTACAAATCCCATAATTCGTTAGAATGGAGCCACAACAGCTAGAGTGGTGCCAAGCTACTGTCTCCCACACTAATTGCCACCATGCCTTATGGATAATATGTTTTAAGGATAATAAATGTGTGTTAGGTGCTGTAAACATGGCCAGGCCCTGTAGAGGTACACAGGTATAGAGGGTTCTGTCTTAACTGAATTAGAAATATTTTGCTTTTTCTCATTGGAGACCTACACCCTTCTGCTGGAATTCCCTGGAGCCTTGGTGTCAGCTGCCACACATGACTTAAAGCTATAGAAATACATTACCTCATGTTAAATGTTGAAAATTTGCAGAAATGTCTGTCGGTGTTTCCATTTACTTTTCTGTAGCCCTGGATGGCTGACGAGTTCACAGAAGAAATAGTTCCTTTTCTCCCATCCAACCATGCACCCCATCAACGTTTAAAACTATTTAATGTTCTCTTGTGCGGCATCCATTAATTAAACCATTTGACAGGCATGACAGGGCACTTAATGAAATGCTGCTGAGTGATGGAAGATGCTTGGAGCCAAGGTGGAAAGGGAATCATGTAAGTCCAGTAGGGTAACTGAATGCTTGACTACACAAGTGATCCCACATGAAGAAATACATGGTCTTGAGTGTTCCGTTGTGGGAAATGCTGCCTTTGGTCTTAATTGATTTGTTACGTAAACATAAAAATTGTCTTGATTTGAATTGACTTTTCCACTCAGTTCTGGATTCTTGTATTCATGTGTGTTTATTAAGTAGCACGGGCCACCCTTACAGTTGGTCAAAGGAGAAAACAAAAGTAGATATTATGGAGAAAGCATAGCTGTCATGAACAAGTGGTTCCCAGCCTTGGGTCCCTAGATGTTCTTGGACTAAAACTCCCATAAGCTTTCACCATGATGCACTGGCCAGGATTTCTGGGAATTGTAGTCCAAGAACATCTGGAGACCCAAGGCTGGGAATCACTGCTCTTAAGTTAACTTTCTCAAGACATTCCCCTTCAATAAAGCTACTTCAAAGAAAGTCATTTTCTGCCTGCCAGCCTATAAACCTTAAATAATGGATCTATCACAAAGGTCTCTATGGCTGATCTTAAAGTCCAAGTAGGTTTATTTAGGCACCTGTGGTTCTTCTGATATCCTGGTCCCAAGCTATTTGGGCATTTGAGACCAACAACTAGCTCTTTATATTGAGCCCAAAACACACTGGAGGTAGAGAATGGATTATCTTTTGATGGTCTAACCTGTTGGCTGAATTCTAAATCAGCTGTTTTTAAAGCAGCCCCAATAATCTAGAGTGGGTGTGGCCAAGGTAGAGGTGACTTTAACAAGGTCTACCTTCTGCAGATAGGGCTGCAGCTGAAGGTGGCAGAAACCACCTCTAGTAACTTTTGCCACTTGTGCTTCAGTAGATGTTGTCAAATCCAGAAAAAAAACCTTCAAACTGTAAACAGTGCCCTGCATAAGGAGTACAATCTAAGTAAACAATGGCCTCACATTTCCCTACAGATCATTAGATCCTCTTACCCACAGCAGTTCCATTTTATCTAGATTAAGCCTCAGCTTGTTTGCTCTCATTCATTCCAAACTGTTCCAGAGTATGGCGATAATATTTGAAAAGCTAAAATGTAATACTTTATATATATATTTTCTTTTCATATTTTTAGAAACATAATGGTTCTTAGTGGTTACTCAGTAGTAAAAATTAACATATTAATTAATCATTGGTAGTGTATAACCTTTTTTTTCTTTATTTTTTACAGTTCACATATATGGCCAAAGCTGATGTCCCCTAAATAATGCTCTTAAGTAATAAGTAAATGTTACTTTAAAAACAACCCAGAGTATTCTTAAGTCATTTGCCATTATAATACTAGTCATTATCATCACTTTAGGCCACCACAACAAAATACATAAAGGAAATTATCAAGGATGGCTGTGTTTTAAATGTATTAGTTCTAGACATCAGTTCAGGGTGTTCTCAGCCTCCCTGGGACTAGCTGATGGGGGCAAAAAAAGAGGTACAGCAGTGTGACACCCATATAGCTGAAAGCTAACTTCCTTCAGTGACATCATGGAGATGTTAAAAAGAATGAGAGATAAAAGACAATTGAGACCCCTCCCCCAACGTGGGATAGAACAGGCGGCCCCGAGGACCACTGTCTGAATATACCACTCTAGAAAAGAGCAGGGGCCATAAGATACTGTGCATCTGGTTAAGTATGATATAACACAACCTTAATTTGAGAAGCCTCTCTGCAAAAGATGACGTGAATTGTCACAGGGGCTCACTGAGATTTTTACCTGACGCAAAAGGATTGCTCATTATTTGAAAACGCTCTTCTGGGTGACACTCTGCAAAGGCAATGGAGGTTTTTGCAGGTGAGCAATTGTGACTCTAAATTTTAGGTCAGGGAATATTATGCCATCACTCCATTTGGAGCAGAGACAATGGATTTTGCAGAACCACCAGTGAAAACTGCAAGATACTCTGCAGGAGATACCAGGAGGACTATCTAGACCCATCACCTTTTGGGGGTGGAGAACTGAAATAGACCCATTGCACTTTCAAGGGTAAAAGGCAAAAGACACCAAACTTGATCAGATAATATCCAATTGTGATAGTGCTATCTTGAGCTCTCACTGATACCTCACTGTCTCCTAGTCAGTATATGAAACCAAGAACAATGTATATCCTGCCACATGCTTTGAGCTAGATACTGAACCATACCAATGATTGTCACAGCAGGCATACAACTCTGAGCAACCCCAGGTGCACCTAGGATTACAGAGTCCTTAAAACCACCCCTGTGATCTAATTGAGCAGGAAAGCTGTTAGGCAGTGAGACTGAACACCAGCAGAATTCCTGTCATGTCTCAAACACTTGGTGCCACTTACGGACATTCAAAGCTGTCTGTTGGATAAGATATCTGGCTAGCACAGTGATTCCCAACTTTAAGTCCCCAGATGTTCTTGACTACAACTCTCAGAAATCCCTTCTTGATTACAACTCTCAGCACAGCTAGTGGTGAAGGCTTCGAGGAGTTTTAGTCCAAGACTATCTGATGACCCAAAACTGGGAACCATTGGACTAAAGAAATAGAATCTTTACAATAGACCAAAGTCACTCCATACTCAATCCAAGTCAGGCTTTGTGTTGTGTCTGGCAAACTTTCTTAGCTCTTGTGCAAGCACACAATACATGTGTAGGTCCTTCTCTGTGCATAAAGGCTGTAGAGCAGCATCTGGTTTCCTCCTGCTGCCTACCTCGGCTGAGAAAACAGTGCAGGACAAAAATTCTTATGAAATTGTAAATGATGGCTAAATTGTGCATGTTCAGAATAATGGGGTTACCATACATGATGGAATTTGTCAGCGGAGTGTTTGCCCAACTTTATTTTTCTCCAGAAGGAGGACACATGAGTTTTATGTTGCTTTGTAACATCTGAGTTT